TCAGTGTATTGACTGCTAGAAGAACCTCTGGTGCATGGGGCAAGACTGGATTGCACAACTGAAGATGTTCCACATTTCTCCAAGATTCTGGTGAAGGGCAAAATCATCACCCTAAGACAGTTAATGGCCATGGCTGGGCTCACCTTAACGGATGGAGGAAGGGTGGCTGAACATTTGGGGTGACATCAGAAAGCTGCAAGAAGGCTTTGTCAGCAGAAGAGTGGATTATGCTTAATAGTCACAAGAAGAAAGTACAAGATGAAAATGTCCCATTTCCAAGAATGAGGATTACACCCAATATCACAGAGTCAGAAAGAAAGGAGTTATTACTGGATTTGAGAGGGTTGGAAGAGGCGGGTTTGGATGAGGTGAATAGGAAATATTTATATAGGGGATGTGTCAACGTTTTGAAGAAAGATAAATTGAAGAATAGAAAATAAACTCCTTGGAGGGTAAAACTGGGCATTGGTGACAAGGTGAAGCCAGCATGGAGAGCACTGTACAAGCCACCGTTACAAAAGGGCACCGGTGACATGCAATGGAGGGTTTTGCATGGCATCATTGCAGTTAATGCTTTTGTTTCTGTTATTAACTCAGAGTTAGAGATGGATGTCCTTTATGTAATATACATGTAAGAGAAACCATTTTTCATTGTTTTATGGAGTGTGAGAGGATTAAGCCTCTCCTTGAATTACTAGAGTCTTTGTTTACAGCTGGAGGGGAGATTTTCAATAACACAGTTTTTATTTTGGGGTTTCAATATAGTAAGCAAAAGAAGAGAAAATGTCAACTGTTACATTTTATTTTAGGACAAGCTAAAATGTCAATTTTTCTGAGTACGAAACATAAAATAGATTTGGGATATGGGCTGGAAGTAAGAAGTGTTTTTAAAGGATTAGTCAAAGCAAGAATAAAAGCAGATTTTTGGGCTGTAACAGATCTCCCATTGTTTGAGGAAAAGTGGGCTTATGAAGGAGTGTTGTGTTTTGTAGAGGAGGATAAATAGTTTTTTTGTTGATGAAATGAGATTAATGTATAAATATGATTTTTTTATATTATCTAATCTTTATTTTTTTTACTGAGGAATGACTAATTTGTTGTTTAATTTCTGAAAAGGCATAGAGTGCCATTATTTGTGTTAAGAATTACATGTAAGTATGAAATAAAAGTTTTGTAAAACTCAAAACTCTCTCTCTCTCTCTCTCTCTCTCTCTCTGTTTTGTGTAATATCTATGTAGGCTGAAATAGGAATTGACAAGACCAGATAATTGCTGTTGGGAAGAGAATAGGATGTTATGCAGACAAAATATGTTGGTAGCAGTGGAGGCTCCTCAGAGGAGGAAGGGGAGGATCATCCTCCTCAGTAAAAAAATAAATAAAATAAAAAATAGTAAAACATGAAAGAAAGTTATCCTTTAAGTTGTCCTACTACATATATTCACGTCACCAAATAATTGATTAAAACACACTGTTTTGCAATGAAGGTATACAGTAGCCTCAACAGCACTCTGTACGGTAGCACCATGGTGTAGCTGGAGGACAGCTAGCTTCGGTACTTATGACAGAGAGAGAGAGAGAGAGAGAGAGAGAGAGAGAGAGGAGAGAGAGAGAGAGAGAGAGAGAGAGAGAGAGAGAGAGAGAGAGAGAGAGAGAGAGAGATGGAGCGGGAGAGCTAGCTATATTTGGTGCACAGACAGCTGATGTGTTGTGCACTGAAGTCCACAAGCGAAGTAAAAAGGTGAGAGGAGGTGATAGTTGCGAAAATAAATTATATATGCAAAGAGCAAAGTGATCATGTTGTTTTTATGTGGCTGCTATGAAAGTGAACTGTGTTTGATTGTGATCAGAGGTGCGCATTCATTCTGCTGATTCTGTTGAAAAACGTTTCTTAAACGAAAGCAAACGGAACAAAACGGGGATAAACATACCTGAATTTGTCCAATAGAAACTCTAATTTGCAACTGTTTAGACTAATGAATACACCCTAGATCAGCTAGTTGCAGGCAAGAGTGTGCAAGGCGGTATTGAATGTGTCACTGTCCGTCACCATAATGATAATCCTCCCTGATCTTAAACGACACTGAACGCCACTGGTTGGCAGGACAAGGATATGTTTGTTTGTGCACAAGTAAGTCTGTAATTTATGTTTACCATAGGTACAAATGTGATGTGACTCAAATGAAAGGGCATTTAGTTTACTAAAATGGCCCACAGTTTTTGTCATTTTGACAATAACTAGACTAAATCATTTTTCAAATGACAAAAATGTGACCAAGACTGAAGGATATTTAAGTCAAAATTGCTAAGACTAGAATAAGTCTAAAAAAGAGTTTCCTACACATGATGATAGGAAAATAACAAATTAGTATTATTAGATAGACACACAGGCATGCACACACGCACACACCACACACACAAAACGCACCCATTCTCTTAACCTTTTTTCTACAGAAAAGGATTACCAAAAGTCACCAGTAAGTCCACTTTGAACAGGATGTGAAGTCATCAGTAGGTTCCAAACCAGGAGATTCCTTCCTGTTCTCTACTTATGGCCTGCTTCTCTATAAAATGCTTTCTTGGCCTTCATCTCCCCTCTCCAACCTCCCTCTATATCCAGAGAAACAAAAGTCAATTACGGAAGTCGAAACAGATGCGATGTTTGAGCAGAGGATCAATACGATCTGCCCGCGGTCAGGCTGACCCGAGTGACAACTTCAAAAACAAAGCGCTGGCCCAGAAAGAGAGAGGACCAGTGCATTCTAATGAGAGGCACCAAGGACATACAATCTGCTGATGATATCATTATGGCCTGCTGCCTGGCGGCTTAATCCCCGCTCCTCTCCTCTCCGCCCCTCTCCACGAGGCTGACGAGTCTTGCTGTTGGCAATGTTTCGCCTCGTTAGCTGATCGGGATGCGCTGCAAAGTTCAACCAAGTAATGGGATGCCCATTTAGAGGGAGGGGTATTGAATGACTAACAGTATCTCTAATGCAACAACCCCTGTAGAGCAGCTCTTAGGTTAATGTTGCTGTTCTCCACTGCCCGGCACATCCGCGTCCAGCATGTCATTTCTACTTCTTACTATTTGGGCCGCTAACACATTTATACTGGACTTGAAAGGCTTTCATTGTTGTCATTGTGTGTGTGTGTGTGTGTGTGTCTCTGTGTGTATGTGTGTTATTAATGATGACCATCAACTCCTCTTGGGTAACATTGGTGTAAACTACGGTATTATCCCTCTGGGGGATTTTGCCATAGTGTCTGCTCGATTGTTAGAGAATGAGAAATAAAATAAAACAGAACCCCCCTGGAGTTCTATTTTGGTTCAACTTTATAATCAACTCCCGCCATAGGGAGTCCAATGCCCCTAAATCTACATGGATAGAAATCTACATGGATAGAAATCTACATGGATAAAGCACCTGCTAATGCTTTTTCATACATTTCCAAGTCCATTCATTGGTTTCCTTGTGTGCTATCCAAAATGGCAGATGAGAATCCATGAGCTCTATTGAACATAAATAAATGACTGTCCTAATACAATAGATGAAATAGGATCTATTGGACTACCGCATTGGGAGTCTGTATTTCTGTTCTATAAAACAGTTGGCATTAAGGTACAGTAATGTTTACCTATTCATTTATTCATTTAAATTGAGGGGGGAAAACACATCACAGGTCCAAATACCTGCCAATGTAATCTGTGATGTGAGTGAAAGGGTAATGTCAGAGAGAGAGAGAGACGAGAGAGAGAGAGATGTTTTTATTTATTTTTTATTATTGTTTAATTCACTTTTGTTTATCATCTATTTCACTTGCTTTGGCAAGGTAAACATATGTTTCCCATGCCAATAATGCCTTTTAAATTGAATTGAATTGAATTGAATTGAAATTGAAATTGAATTGAGAGAGAGAGAGAGAGAGAGAGAGAGAGAGAGAGAGAGAGAGAGAGAGAGAGAGAGAGAGAGAGAGAGAGAGAGAGAGAGAGAGAGAGAGAGAGAGAGCACTTATCGGAATCTCAGCACATTCCCCTACAGCCGAGTGAATTAAGAGCCAAAGAATGTAATGTGGCATGAGGCGGCTTGGAGCTGACAGAGAGATGGCTCATCCTTCCTGGCTTCTCTGGAGCCCAGTGCAGTGCAGGGAGACCATGCAGGCAGACAGACAGGCAGGCAGGGACTTCCAGGGACAGCGTGTCAGCCAGCATGCAGAAGCGCCACGTTACTTAACTGTCTCAGGGCTCTCATGCTTTTGAGGAAACCAACACACATTCCTCTGCACCTGAAAGTGACGGTGGTAGGGATGGGGGGAAGAAAGAGGTTGGCCCACCACCACCTGAGAGACGAGCTACCTCCCTCTCTCTGTCCCCGGGACATAGCAGCCATAGAAACATGAAGTGCTTATTCCTTCCATTGCCTGTGCACGATTTCACTTAATGTCCCTTTGAGTCCCTGACAAATGTATTTTACATATCTGTAATAAGCTGTAGTAAGGTCTCACTCTTATGCATTTTAGTTTTCCACTGCCCAAGAGACACATAAATGTATGAACTGTCACTTCTCAAGTATTATCTTTGGTTGTAAAAAAGGAACCTAAAGCATAATACGCAAAGTCATAAAAGAACAATGTGTTGGCATTTTAATAATTTATTACACATTGATAAAAATTTCAACACAACTAGGTTTATTTAAAGACGTATGTTGAGAATCAGATTGTACTGAGGGCCATTTCATAACGAAACCAGACATTTACAGAAGGTACACCTTTCCAAACGATCCAGCAGAATCCTTCCCCTTCTCATCATACGTTACGCATCAGCGTGTGTGGATGCCTTTCACCCTCGTCCATTATATATCTTCAACATTTGTGCTTTCAAAATATGTGGTTTTATTTCCAATTTTATATTTGTTTTTTATGCCTGATAAATTAAATGCACAAGAAAACAAAAAACTCCCACGGGACCTAATATTGATCAAAGACCCAACTTTGAAAAGCAACGACGATTTGCAATGCTTTTATTTACATGTTACAGCTGATTGATGTAAAAGGGTACGGGGTTGGAAGCTCATGTTTGCAAATGTGCCACAGATTCCACAGCCAGTGCACTGGAGCAAATACAGTGCCTTCCTAAATGAGTATGCCAGAATAGCAACAACTGGTGGTGGTCCACTTTCCATTGTAAAATGTATTGAGGTTTTAATTTGCTAAATTATAGAGGAGCCCTTCAGGGATTTAATATCTCTAAAACTAAAGTGCTAACTATGTGGAAAAGAAAACAATTTATCCATTCTGCAATCCATCAGTCTCTGATTATATGATCAAATCTTATTAATTTTATCCTCAAATAAAACAATTAATGTGAACTTGATATACTTTAGCTTGAGGTTTTCAATTGATTCACTTTATTGCCTTATCAAAAAATTAATAAATGCAATCGACATTCAAAGCCATCATCTCCCAATCAACCATCATTAGATTCAGACCTGTACATCAAGAAAAAATGGTAGAGTAATTCACAATCACAATCTACTTCGTGATTACCCAGCAGAAAAAATGGTTAAAAGGCTAAGTAGGTTGCATGGTTGATTAAAGAGTTAAGCTTTATACAATACCTTGTTAATTGGAAACACAACGGTCAAAGAAATAAGTGAATGAACGTGGCACAAAGCTGTCCTTGCATGGCACAAAGCTGTCCTTGCATGGCACAAAGCTGTCCTTGCATGGCACAAAGCTGTCCTTGCATGGCACAAAGCTGTCCTTGCATGGCACAAAGCTGTCCTTGCATGGCACAAAGCTGTCCTTGCATAGCACAAAGCTGACTACATACATGTCAAGTATATATCTAATGTATAACAATAGCTTGGTACAAACGATATTTATCATTATCTTAGCTAGTATGTTTTATGAAATAGTCATATATGCGTTATGTATATTATATATATATTTATGCTGTTTTCGTCATGATAATAAACATCCATACAATACGTTTGAATTTAATGATCTATGTATTTATATTTGTACATTTCACACGGTTTGAAACAGACTACTCTGTGCACGGCAGAGTGAACCTGCACACTGAAAGCCCTCTGTCTCCAGGAACGGATCCTCTCTATTGGTCATAATGCAACCGACTCTCTCCCTCTGGGAAACACTGTCCCTTTACCCCTGTGCACTGATATACAATACACACTAGTCTTTCTACAAGGTCCAGAGATGTCGTCACCACTGCACAATGTCCAGTACTATAAAACCCATTTACTGTAAGAACACCCCAACCCATGCTATAGAATACCCCCACTCACAAGATGGATCATAGATTTCTGAAAGCAGGTCAGGTGCTGACGGCTTGAAAACCACGGAGAATAAAAACTAAAAGCCAACGCTCGTGATCGTTAATCAAAAGAGATTTTGGAACTATGACTACTGAGGTCACCATAAAGCTACCTTGGATATCACCCCGGACAATGCATGCTTTAAATTCATATTTTCAAAAAGCCCTTGCTAATCAATATTGCTACATTAACAGAATTTGAGAAGGACAATTAACTTGAACTTGCCACATCTGAGAAAACACCTCCTTGTGTATGTTTGAATGTGAATAGAAAAAGAAAGCAAACATATTTTAGAATCTGTTGGTTCTCTCTGAGGAGGGATTGGCATCATGCTACAAAAATATAGATATTCAATACTATCAAAGAACTACAAGACATGTCCTATGCGCAGGACACAGCACTAGCCAATAAAGTTGAGTGCCTCCGCTTTCGCTCTCATCATCATCAAGCAGCAGCAGATGCAGTCCAAAAATAACCATTCCTCTAACGGCATGTGAGACTGAAGGCAGTGTAGCTGGTACGTTCTGAGTGTTGTCTAAAACATTGTCAACAGAAGATGGGAATCACAGGGTCATGGAATACAGCAGGATGGAGAACTTAGTGTCATCAGTCATGGGAGTAGCGTTTCCTTAGTGGCACTGCTCTTCACTCTCAATGAGTTTGCCACTGCCCGCCCGCTGCAACGCTCACTGCTAGCAGCCATCTTAGAAACTAAATAATGTTTGCTGACAGTCCTCTGGGCCCTGTACAAATGTCCCTTTAGGGGCTCATCTCTGCCATAGAAACCAGAAACCAAAGTAAAGAATAATAGTGTTTTTTAATTCTAAATATAAAATGCATTCCGACATTTAGATTTGACAGTTTACATTCTTACTCATTACTATCCCAGACCTTGACACATTGTTGTTGTTAGTGTGCACATACACACAGCTATGGATTTAGTTGAATAGATAGATATATAGATATTAACAGATATTAACTTATACTTCAGTGATAACCGCTGGCAACGTTGACCAGCGATCAGTGGAACACTGACTTGGTAAGAAACAGTCACTTAGGATTGAAACAGTAAATACTCTCTTCATACAAACTATTTTCAATGTTTCATAAACGATTAAAGTAAGAAAACCTTTTTTTGCCAGGAGTTGTATATGTATACCCTTAGTTACACTTTGCAAAGCTTAAACATAATGTTGACATCTCTAACACTTGATCATATTTACAAAACAACTAAATTAATAGTATTCCTAATGTTGCACATAAATGATTGAATTGTATCTATCTTCTTCTAAAATCGATGAATGGATGACATTGTTTCCATTGAGACATGTTTTATTGCTATTGCTGAAACCCTATCTTGATTATTTCAACAAAAGGAAATGAACAACCCCAAAACATCAACTACAGAGAATGGAAGAATATTTGACGAAGATTGAAGGTAGCATTTTGTCACTGATATCAAACAAACTGGTCCATCGGTCAAATAAATGTTGATTGGTCTTTGAAAAGAAAAACGGCCAGTCCATGCAAAAACACGATTCTCTTTTACAGCGTTAAACATGTAATGCAGAACAACAACTGAACACATATCAGAAAACTAAAACAAATAATAGATCCTTAACAATTGTTGGGCTATGTGCATTTGTAGAATAGCATTCTCTTGTGTATATCATATATTATTCGTAGCATATTTTCTTTAGTAGCATAATCCCTCCCTCCCCAAAACAATTCCCATTAAATGGTCACCACATTGCTCAGATCCTAACACCTTTTCTCTTTTTTTGTTTTATAGATTTTTTATCTTGGAAGGTATTTGACATTAAAGCAATGTGGCGACTGGGAACTCAACCAGCATGGACACCATGTTTTCTGAAAATAAACATTCGGGGGGAAAAAGAAGGGGGTATTGAGATTAGTGGGATCCCGGGGTCATCCCCTGTAACTTGGGCTTTTTATTCAAGTAGGTTGCCCAATAGACCAGGTTAAAGGTTCCGAAGAGTAACGGGAAGGCTATTCTGGCGATCCTGTCGATCTTGCTGACGCTGTTGAAGGTCTTCTTAGCCTCTGGTGGCTTGGGCTTGGGTTCTTCCTTGGGCTCGGTGGGGGGAGGGGGGGCGCTTTTGGCAATGGTGGCCAAACCAGGATCTCTGGCAATGTTTGGAGCGAAGGCTGTAGCAGTGGCGGCGGTGTAAGCTGTGGTGTTGTTCTTCTTCAGGAGGGACTCTTTCTTCTTCTTTTGCTGCAAGGAGGTAAACAGACCGTGCCTTGGGTTAGCTTATAAGAAACCAACCAACAAAGCACATTGACAAGCTAGCAATTTACATTTGAGGACATGTTTAAAAAAAACATGGCAAAGCATTGTGTGCGAGTTTGTCTACTACCTCTCTCAGTGTTGTTCAGGAGCAGCTGAAGGTGGTAATGTATTGTAGTTCTAACTGCACTGGTGAGAACACTATGGAGGAACACTCAACTATTCATGTTCTTATCATGTCCCATGAATCTCATTCGCACTGAGATGAGCAAGTGACATAAAACCAACACTCACTGTTGTGCTCCACCAACAAATTACTAACTAACTGCTCTACTTTTAGGTAGAACACCCCTGATCTTGATGTTCAGAAACAATTCAAGTTTTTTCAAAATACAATATATTTTATGGAGGATAAGAGGAAGAACACCTTTTCTGGCACCACACTTTTTCCGTCCCAGGCGTAGCCCCTCTTTGTAAAGTAGTTGACTGTAGCAAACTCAATGAGGGCAGAGAAGACAAAGGCATAGCAGACTGCAATGAACCAGTCCATGGCTGTGGCATAGGCCACCTTTGGGAGAGAGTTCCTAGCACTGATACTGAGGGTGGTCATGGTCAGCACAGTTGTCACTCCTGTAGGGACAGAGAGGGAGAATGGGTTACGTTCTAGAATAGAATAAACCATGTTCTTGCTTGTTTGGGTTTCACATTGTAGGCTAAATACACATATTGCATCCTACAACTACACACTCTATCCAATCTAGTCTAGCAAGTGGCCATTTCCAAAATGGGGATGTTCTGGTCAGAGTAAAACACACTGTTGTTGACATATGTAACATTACGAATCTTGAATCAGTACCAACATAATTGGTCACTGGGTAAAATTGCTTAATGAATGAAGCATAAGCTACCATTATGTTGGCATCCTGAACATTACATTTTGATTAGCTGCCGCAAAGCTTGCCAACTTCTCTAATGCATCCCTGATTCCAACTTCATGCATTACACAAAAAACGAGGCCCCAGAGCCCCAATTCTCATGTAATGCCGGCTGAGACGCGTTATTTAGGTTTGATAAAATCACCAAAACACACGCGTTTCTTTTTAAGCCTGCATAATACCTGCACACTAAAGGGTGTATGAATTGAAAAACAGAAAGGGGGAGGTTGTTAAGCCTACAGGGTTATGTGAGGTCATCATGTACTATAGCTGGGGTTTGTTAAAGCAGAGGTGAGAGCAGGGCTGTTGGAGAAGAGGAGCAGTTCACAGGATGTCTGTCGGTGCATTGCTCATCCACACAGACTGCTGCAGATGTTTACACCACAAAACAAAAACAGCCCAGCGGCTTACTCAGAGAACTCGGCTGGGGCCAAGGCAATTCAAGGGACAGAAGGAGAGACAGGTCATGAGTTAGCCAGTAGAACAGAGTCTTCCTCCACCACTGTTATACTGCAATGGTCCTGGCTAAAACAGATATATAGCAAAAGGGTAGTCCTAGCCTTGGCATCAGAATCAGAATCACTTATTCGCCAAGTACATTTACCCATACCCAGAATTTGACTTAGTGAATACGTGATGCCAGCAATAGACAATGTACAGACAGGATACAGACACAGTCAACATAGTCAACATACAGGATATTCAATGTAAATACAGTGAACATAAAACTCTGGAGTATAAGCTGAACTCCAACATATGCTGATAGGCTACTGTTGTCTCTCCATACACTGCTCTGCTCTGCTTGGATGACTGTGTTGACTGAGACCGAGATGGAGAGATTAGACACATCAGAGAATCAGCCCTGTGTGTTACAGTGGTCCTCTGTAGCTCAGCTGGTAGAGCACGGCGCTTGTAATGCCAAGGTAGTGGGTTCGATCCCCAGGACCACCCATACACAAAAATGTATGCACGCATGACTGTATGTCGCTTTGGATAAAAGCGTCTGCTAAATGGCATATTATATTATTATAGATAGGCTGAAACTCAGTGACTCCACTGACCTTGGTCCTGTGACTTGGTTAATTAATCGTATTCCTTTTGAATTCCTTTTGTTGATGATAGTAGAAAATAAAAGTGTTTTTCTCACTGTTAAATTCAGAATTATTCTAGACTTCACAAACATATATTTTAAGTGAAGTCTTTTGAATTTTCCATGGTGGTGTGTGAGGCTTTTTGACGTCTATTTAGCTCTGATGACCTTACTAAATTAAAAAAAGAAAAATCTATCATAAATGAGACAGCACACGCATGCAATCTCGAAGCTACGAAAGCATCTGGCAGTGGAGCGATTAACGTTCTCCTCTGAGCTCTGAATGTTATTGTTCGCCATCAGAATGATGAATTCTCTCTTGTTCCGATGATGTGATGATGACTCATAGTCCTACACCCTATTCACGCACATTCTATTCTGAGTTCATAGTGTTACATGAGGCTTACAAAGTTATACTAATAATACAATCACGTCAGCAACAAATAATAAAACAATAAAAAACTAAAATGTCCCCAAAACGTGCATGTTCACTCCATTTTGCAGATAGCTATAAAGCCAAGCTATGATTTCATTTCTACTCTACTAGAGTACTATGGCAGTGGTGGAATTACTCTGAAAGGTCATACTACTATCAAGATGTCTTTTCACTGCCACTAAAACAATCTTGATCATAAAGTCGACCTCGGACACTTTCCTTTATTGTACAGTGTCAAATCAGCTGTCCATTACTGTCATCATTTGGGCCCATCAAAGGCTCAGAGTGTTTTTCTGTCTCGACAGGGCTTTACAGTAGAAATAGCTAGGTGTTGTGAAAGGCAGCGGCGCCAACATTACATTATCCCCCAGCATCTCAGTCACCCCAGTCTGATCATCACTGGCTGGATTTCCATGCTAGGAGATTTGCCGGGGGTGATTAGAAGTTGATGTCCCCTACATGCTACCCTTTTGTTAGGAGCTCAGCTGGAATCCACAGCCTGCAGGAAAACACATCACAACTGCATCTAACCGTGCCTTAAGAAGATTTGCGGGGGGGGTGGTGGTTGGATGGATAAGTGGGTTTGGGGAAGTGGGAGGGGGGAGGGAGAGGGGGATGGGCATGCGACAGCCAGTCATGAATTGAGGCTGGTCTAGGGTAGCTGCCTCCTTCCTTCGTTTCCCCACCACACTCTTTTCCAAAGTATCCTGAAGGATTCACTATCATAAATAAAGACAGCAAGCTGTGTTGCCATGGAAACAACTCGCCGCCTCTAACTTTGTTATGTTTTTTAAATCCCAAATGATGTGTGGAATGAAATCAAAATCATGGGTTGGGCATGGTAACATTTACTTATAGAACAGAGAAACACTGTTAGGTATTCAGATTCCTTAAATGAGTGTAGCGACTGATTCATTAAATGACTCTATTTGACAAGTTGGACTACTGGACTGTGCATGGTGGCCCTTAATGAACAGAGGCACCCATCTGGAAAGTTATATGTGGATTAATAGTGGTATAACTCAGATTTTGGTATCCCTTCCACTCAATTTATCTCTGTGTGCAGAAGCACACATACCTCCACACATACAGTGGGTAGCAGGGAAGAACATTTTCGAGATAAAGAATGATAGTGTGAAAAGGTACACTGCAAAAATGAAATTAGAAATTTCTGGTGATAAATGGAAAGGTGGGGCAATGAGACGGTCACACCTCGCTGACTTAGATAGAGAATGCTGTAACAAGGAAATCATGGATGAAATCAAATCAAATGAAATCTCAAATAAAACTCATATTTAACTTCTTACCACTCCTGGCAGTGAAGTGGTCCTCTAGTCCCCTATCAGAGAAGCCTGCTGTGTCAACCTTAAGGCTACTGCTTTATCAATAACTAAAACCTCATCAGCAAATGTCTAACCATGCCAGTGGCATGAAGATGTTGTCTAGCGGTGCTCTGTGACTGTTTGAGAGAGAGTGTTTACTGGAGTGAATGTTGCAATCTCCATAGCTGACTGGTCTGCCCATCCACAGTCACATACACATCCACCCACACCCACACCCACACCCATACACACCCATACCCCCCCCCCCCCCCCACACACACACACACACACACTCACTCACTCTCTCTCTCTCTATCTCTCTCTCTCACCCTCTCTCTCTCTCTCTCTATCTCTCTCTCTCTCACCCTCTCTCTCTCTCTCTCTCTCTCTCTCTCTCTCTCTCGCAGTCTCTCTCTCTCTCTCTCGCTTCCATTGTGCCTTAATCAGCAGATACATCAAAAAGCAGCCAGTAAATACACATTGAATGGCTTTAAGAGCAGGGAAGAAAGAGAGCTAATGTTCTGAGCACCGTTGACGTCTATGACAGCCACAGAGAGAGAACAAGGGACTGGGTGTTTGCTCCAAAATGTAATATAATGTAACATATTCATTCAATTTTCCTTTCAGAGCCATATCATCATTACCATATTTTTATTAATTTTTATTAGGATGATAAATAAATAAATAGTTAATAGTTTTTCCACTGCGATAATCTGGCTCTGAATTTATCTGCCTTCTTTAATCGTAACAATGACAAATAGATAACCTTACCTAACCCACTGCTGCGTTTTTAAATTGCCTATTTATCTAAAAGGGAGACTTTGTGTTTGCAGTATGCTGTGTTTGCTCACTCACACGGAACCTATCAACCAGTAGGCAATACATAACGATATCTTATGTTAGTTAATATGACTTGATGAGACAAATACTACTACTCTAATTTCACTCATTATTTCTTAATGTCTTGAACAAGTTACATTTCAAGAGTTGATAAGACATGCTTGTTATAAACATCAGTATAAAACATTAGAACTATAGTACAGATACAAGGTTGTACAGCTGATTACTGGAATATTAAATTCAACTGTCTCAAAAAAATATTTATTTTGATTCTCCCATGATGTCAAGCAAAGAGGTACTGAGTTTGAAGGCAGGCCTTGAAATACATCTACAGGTACACCTCCAATTGACTCAAATGATGTCAATTAGCCTATCAGAAGCTTCTAAAGCCATGACATCATTTTCTGGAATTTTTCAAACTGTTTAAAGGCACCGTCAACTTAGTGTATGTAAACTTCTGACCCACTGGAATTGTGATACAGTGAATTATAAGTGAAATAATCTGTCTGTAAACAATTGTTGGAAAAGTTACTTGTGTCATGCACAAAGTAGATGTCCTAACCGACTTGCCAAAACTATAGTTTGTTAACAAGAAATTTGTGGAGTGGTTGAAAAACAAGTTTTAATGACTCTAACCTAAGCGTATGTAAACTTCCGACTTCAACTGTACCTATTATGACCACTCTATGGAAAGGGGAGACTCTCACAAACACGATGGTGTTCTCTGGGACAAGTGTCACGGCACTCATCTGAAGGTAACCAGTTCCGGTTTTAAAAAAAGAATGGAAGTATGGAGGTAGTTTTGTGCTTACCCAAAAAAGGTTCAATATGTGTAAAAATAATATATATATATATATATATATATATATTTCCTGAGTTTTTTTTTATATCTCCTAGATTTAGGAGAGACATTTCAAAACCTTGTTTCTTATGATTTATTTTTGACTGTCTTTTTTGCCATTTATGAATGTGTTATTCAATGCGTTTCTATGGGCTTTAGTAGTCAAGGCCAAAATTAATATTTTATTAAACAAAAATGCATATATATATTTTTTTACTAAATGTGTCCTAAAATTCTAAATCAAATAGCTAAATGATCCATAGTATGACCATCTTAAAACAATTCTATTTTTCAGCTTAGCACCCCCCCCCCCCCCCCCCCCCCCCCCCCCCCTTCTAAAAGGCTTCTTCGGCTATCCCCTTAGGAGAACCCTTTTTGGTTACAGGTAGAACCCTCTGTGGAAAAGGTTCTACATGGAACCAAAAGGTTTCTACCTGGAACCAAAAGGGTCCTACCTGGAACCAAAAAGGGTTTTTCAAAGGGTTATCCTATGAGGATAGATGAAGAACCCTTTTAGGTTCTAGATAGACCCTTCTTTCTAAGAGTGTATGCATCTAGGTCAACCTCATTCTACTACTCATCTTTCTGCCATGTGATGAACAGAACCAGGTAGGCTACAGCACCGCAGGAACCCCTGCAGCAAACATAGTACAGACTAGGACTGCTGCTGAAAACCCCTCTTCCTTACACTCACATAAAGGCTGTATTATGGAGCTCGGAAAGGTAAAGGAGAAGGTAAAACAAGGACAACCCAGCTGGACAGTGCTCTGCTCTGCTACAGAGAAGCATGCTTCAGACTGACCAACAAGAGCCTTCCTTTTGGACGCTGTTGTGTACGAGCTGACACACACACACACACACACACACACACATCACATACACACACTGCACTTTCTCTCACACACACGCACATCCACAGTCACAGCCACACTCAGCCAACCTAGAAGTTGAAATTCCACTGTCCCACTGATGAATCAAGAAAGAGTGCACCTCTGGCTGGTGCAGCGCTCCAGAATAGTAGTAGAACTCAAACAGTAACGAGAGAACTCTACCACTGGTTTATTATACTGACTTTAGAAAACCAACCAACGTGAGTGTCAGCGTTACTTTTCCTTCACTTCGATACAAACTCATTAATTGATGGGCACCAGACTTACTCTATCAAAATGGAGATACACTGTAGTAATTGAATCCAGAGCTACATGTGAAGGGACATTGGTAAGGCAATGTAACGAGGATCACTCTGTTCCCATCACACTCTCAATGAAAGGGAAGGTCTGCTGTGGTTAGTTACCATGGTTAGTTACCACTGTGTGTGGCGACTGTGTAAATAGCATGTCAACTGGTTTATGTTAGGGACTCACCGAACACAGTCCTGGCTGGGACGGACTCTCTGTTGAGCCAGAAGGACACCTGGGACAGGATCACCGTCATGATGCAGGGCAGGTACGTCTGGATGACAAAATAACCAATCTTCCTCTTCAGGTGGAAGTGTGTCGTCATGACAACATACTCTCCTGTTGTCGGGAAGGTGGGACGGAGGGAAACAGAGAGTTGAAAAGCGTGAGAATTGACTGTGTCATCTGAGTTGTAGAGCCACTTCATAGAGCTCTAGTGCTCCTGAGAATCCTAAATATTTTATCTGATATACTCCAAAAATGTGTGAGAGTGCAGTTCTGTCTTCGTCAACATTCCCCCTCCCAAAACAGAAATAAAAGTCAATTAGAAAAAAAAAAGATATGGAAAATATTAGATCCAATCAGTCTATGTACTGTGCTGGTTTTGTGCACTGCATAATCTTCAGCTGTGGTGTAAGACTATTAAAACATACCGAAGAGGACGTCTGTCTATGTGTGCCTTGTAGAGGTTTGCCATGTTACGAGCGTGGATGGGTTTTATTGGCAGACATTTATTAGTATTGTTTAGGCTAACTCAATAACGTGGCATAACCCAATTCATCAATGTATTGAGAGCAATAACATAGCGAATGCTCTGCGACAGCATTGGGAATGACTTAGGTCAGAGTTCCCCAACTGGGGGCCAGCGGGTGGTTTTATTATTATTATTAGTTTTTTTATTATATCTGTTTGGGCTTCTTGCAGTCAATTTGCATGCACATTATTTGTAATCATGTTCCGGCCCCCCGACCATCCACTCAATAACAAATTGGCCCGCGGCTGAATCTAGTTGATGATCCCTGACTTAGGTGGTAACACATTGGCTCTTTATGTTTGACAGAGACTTAAACAAAGGAATCATTCAATGGTCATGCAAAATTAATTACATTTGTTTTGATAAATCAATGGTACCTCAGAATTAGCATATACAATTGAATGAGATAGGTATTGACACTTTCAAACACAGACCAATACAGATACAGTAAAGTCTTAAACTACCTTTCTGCCTGCAGCTGAACTCACTGTAAAGGGGTCACCGATTTTACACTGTCACTACATTTGCCAGTATCAATGTACCAAAAATAAGGGAAAGGATGTGATGCCCACAAGGGAAATTACAAATCTGGGACATGTTCTCAGAGTAAGCCTATAAACAGAGAGCAGTGGTGCAGCTTTCTGGAGAGAACAGAGATGGAACTTTAGTGTAGGTATGCACTACATGACCAGAAGTATGTGGACACCTGCTCGTCGAACATCTCATTCCAAAATCATGGGCATTAATATGGAGTTGGTCCCTCCTTTGCTGCTATAACAGCCTCCACTCTTCTGGGAAGGCTTTCCACTAGATGTTGGAACATTGCTGTGTGGACTTGCTTCCATTTAGCCACAAGAGCATTAGTGAGGTCAGGCACTGATGTTGGGCAATTAGGCCTGGCTCGCAGTCGGCGTTCCAATTCATCCCAAAGGTGTTCAATGGGGTTGAGGTCAGGGCTCTGTGCAGGCCAGTCAAGTTCTTCCACACCGATCTCGACAAACCATTTCTGTATGGACCTCGCTTTGTGCACGGGGCATTGTCATGCCTAAAGAGGAAAGGGCCTTCGTTGCCACAACGTTGGAAGCACAGAATCGTCTAGAATGTCACTGTATGCTGTAGTGTTAAGATTTCCCTTCACTGGAACTAATGGGCCTAGCCCGAACCATGAAAAACAGCCCCAGACCATTATTCCTCCTCCATCAAACTTTACAGTTGGCACTATGCATTGGGGCAGGTAGCGTTCTCCTGGCATCTGCCAAACCCAGATTCGTCCGTCAGACAGCCAGATGGTGAAGCGTGATTCATCACTCCAGAGAACGTGTTTTCACTGCTTCAGAGTCCAATGGTGGCAAGCTTTACACCACTCCAGCCGACACTTGGCATTGCGCATGGTGATCTTAGGCTTGTGTGGGGCTGCTCGGACATGGAAATCCATTCAATGAATCTCCCGACGAACAGTTCTTGTGCTGACATTGCTTCCAAAGGCAGTTTGGAACTCGGTAGTGAGTGTTGCAACCGAGGAAAGACCATTTTTACACGCTACACGTTTCAGCACTCGGCAGTCCCATTCTGTGAGCTTGTGTGGCCTACCACATCGCGGCTGAGCCGTTTTTGCTCCTAGACGTTTCCACTTCACAATAACAGCACTTACAGCTGACCGCGGCAGCTCTAGCAGGGCAGAAATTTGACCAACTGACTTGTTGGAAAGGTGGCATCCTATGACGGTGCAACGTTGAAAGTCACTGAGCTCTTCAGTAAGGCCATTCTACTGCCAATATTTGTCTATGGAGAATGCATGGCTGTGTGCTCGATTTTATACGCCTGTCAGCAATGGGTGTGGCTGAAATAGCCGAATCTACAAATTTGAAGGGGTGTCCACATACTTTTGTATATATAGTGTATTTTACAAGGGAAACAAACCTGTGCTGGACTGGACAACCCCAGAGTCCACACTTTGCCCCATCAGATCATACTGGTTGAGCCGAGAGCCATCTTCAGCCACCACAACAGACTGGGCTGCCCCTCTCGTCCACACGTACACAACCTCAGCCCTGGTGTAAGCATCTGGCAGGAAGAAGAGAGAGCAGTGGTGTGTATTCATGGATGACAAGGGGAGGCAGGCTTCCCCAAAAAATTTACCAAGTAAAAAACATATAAAATAATGTATATTTCGTCTGTGTTTAATAACTTTCCTTCAATTCGCAAGTGGCTGAATGTATCTCACCGGAGAAAGCATCTGAGCGAGCGAAACAGCGCTCCTCTGTCTCTGTATGTGTAGGCCATCTATCTGATGTTGTCTGGTCAAAAAGAGTATGACATTGTTGCCGCCCGTAGCATTGAATGCAAGGAAAGCCAGAGCGCATTTGGCCTCCGTGAATAAAAAAGTAGAAAATAAGAGCCAATCAGCGTTGAGCTAAACTGAGCGAGCTCAACTGTGAATGGTCCTGGCGCACCAAAAAAAATCCAGTTTGGATTTGGCTTCACTCCAATCACATCACATCGAGAGCAATACGTCATTAACAGAAACAACTTGTTGTGTTGTTGTCCTCCGTGGCTAGCTAGAAAGTTAAAATGGTCCCCTTCCTAAATTAGCCATGGATGGAGATAGGGATTTGGACTTGTGGTTTTACTTCATTCGCTGTACTGGCCAATGATTAGAACGGCGATTCTGATACAACCATTCATTCATACATTGTGCCCCTGGCCTGAGAGGATGGAAGTTCAATATGTAGCTAGATGTAGAAGGCTAATGTTAACTAGCTAACGTTGCCTATGAAAGGAAGTTAGGCTAGCGAGCAAGCATTTTAGCCAGGTAGCCTAGGACAACAACAAATAAATGCGTGTACTGTATGACAGTGTCATAGACCGTAGGGTGAGTCAACATGTTTTTTTCTACTTGCACGAATGCACGCACACACACACACACAGAGAGAAATCAGAACCATGGACATCCACATCATTTTTAGGTTTAAGTTGATTGGACAAAATTGGTTTTGGTGTCTTTTAGTTGTCACTGTAGACTAAGCATAGGTGATTTGATGATGTTGAAATGTTGAAGTTGAAATAGTGGTGGATTAGTCGAGGTAGCTCCTGTTTTCTTTGCGACTTGCGGTAACTCTCTGTGGTTCTAAATCAATAGTTGTTTAGTGGTCTGAAAATGTTGGAAACATTAACTTGCCATGCTGTAGGTCATGTAACTGTTTGTTACACGCAATATGCTTTATGGACTTCACCAGACAGAAGTTGCTCTCCGGTTTTGTGATGAAACAAAGGTGTGGTTGAATTTATTCTGCCACTGTGTCTTCTTATTGTCTCAGCCTTAGGCCTATATATCATGGTGTCAAGGCATATGAACTAAAGGGTTATAGAGTAAACAACGCAATTATCACAATACATAGGTTGTAATAGGGCTTTTTTTCCGGCTTCCCCAGTGATTTTACCGCTACTGAGAGAGAGGGGATGAGAAACAAACAACATCTCAATCTGACTGACCTTTAAACAACCAAGTCCTGGCGGCCCAGCCGACATGTCAAAGCCATCCGCAGTACAGTGTTGCTTCAGCTCTGTTGAGGATTTGTACTGCAGAGGAGCCTCATCACTGAAATATTTAGCGAGCGAGTTTAAAGTTGAGGGTTGGTCTTTATTCAAGCTGTGTTATTCTGAACAGACTGACTCATTATTGTTGGGCTCCTCCTCCTCTCTCTCTCTCTCTCTCTCTCTCGCTCTCTCTCTGTTTCTCAATTCAATACAACAGGGCTTTATTGGCATGAGAAACATCTGTTTACATTGCCAAAGCTAGTGAAATAAACAATAAACAAAAGTGAGAAGACACAAAACATCAACAAAAAACTGTTTCTCTCTCTCTACTTCTCAAGGATAATTTGGGGTCAGAAGAGCAGCTGGCACAATGAGCAGCTGGCACAATGAGCAGCTGGCACAATGCGCTGGAAGTATGATAGGGAGTATTGCCTCCGATAAACAGAGGTCTACAGTATGCTCTGTCGTACGCCTATAGGGGCCTGGCGGGGCCTAGCGCGGCCTGGGAGGCCAGGTCCTGCCTGAGAACAGCTGTTACACCACTGTCAACTCCTATCAGGTACGAGCACTGGGTTTCCGGTTGGAAAGGAAAGACAGAGAGAGCGGGAAAACAGGGAATCACTCACAACTGCCGAACTTCAGTGGGCAAGCATGGGCATCCATGGGGAAGTCTTCCAGGTGCATGGGACACTCTGCCCTCACGGTCAGTCTGGAGGAAGGAATGGAGGGAGAGAAAGAGAGTGAGAAAAAGGGACAAGAGAAGAGAAATGAAGCTATATAAGAGAGAGACAGAGAGAGAGAGAGAGAGAGAGAGAGAGAGAGAGAGAGGAGAGAGAGAAGAGATATAGAGAGGAGAGAGAGAGACTCTATAAACCTTAAAGGCAAGAAGAGATTGATAGAGAACCCCACCAGAGATATATAGATACTTGATAGATGAGACACAGAGAGAGAGACAGAACCAAGAGATTATATATCAGACTACTATACATTATAGAAGCTAAAAGAGAGAGGAAAGAGAGAGAGAGAGAGATATAGATAGGATTATCTACTGATAATATACAACACAAGCCTTTTGTAAATCTAATTGAAGGCATGGAGGGACACTGCTGCAAAGCTCTGAGCCGCAGTCTTTTCCTGACAGCACAGTGAAAGGGGGAATGTCAAACCAACCATGACATGTCACCCATTTATCATCTCTACGACATAAATATTAACTCACACTGCGTCCTTACCTGCTAATAAACATGTTACAGAATGTTTTATGGCCACCTCCTGTGACCCACACGTTAGCTCCATTTTGTGGGCCGTGTAAGTTCGCATCTGGGACCATTATTTATGATGTTTCAGCTCAAATAAAAACTCACAGCGAGCCTCCACTCTACCACTCTACTCTACACTACTCGCTCCACCCACTATGTGTCTTGGTACTCCCTTTAAGGAGAAATCATTTGTTGGATACCAACAGTATTTTCTAGAGCAGAAATGACAAAAACAATACAATGTACTTGAATCACGATCATCGTGGGACTTATGCTCATTAACTGTAGAGAAAACCATGTTCTGCTTCCCAGTGAGGATTTCCAGTTTCAGTGTTAAAAATCCCTATTCCTAAATCTAATATAACGAAAGCAGACCATATCCCAGTTGGGAAAATGTTTTCTCTCACCTCATAGTATAGAGCAGAGTTCCCTCCTCTGTGATTCGTAGGAGTTTGTTGGGCATAGTCATGTTGTGGGCCACAGACTTCTTGCCATTGTGAAAGAATGTGTCAGGGGTCCAGATTTTACTGGCCATCAGGTTGTTCAAACGGAGAACCGCCATTGGCCCTTTAAATTTTAGCCGTTCGTCCTTCCAGCTTTGACGGAAGAACACATCAATGGTGTATTCCTGTAAGAGAGAATGCAAGATCAGGACCTGGAAGAGGTAGGTTGTCCTGCCCTAGTCGTCCTATATCTGCCAGACATGTTACAGACCACATGCTGCTAAGTAATGCCCACTCCCACTTTTCACCACTTTTTTTCTCTCTCACGTCACTTAGGCTTCCATGTAGCAGCAATGGCCTATTTTTCCTGCTGGTGACTGTCTTGTCTTGTCAAGGAAGAGGCTTCAACAAAGGTAGGTCTATCTAACTGGTGGAGTCGCTTCCATCTCTTTCTTCCAGCTTGTCCTCATGAATGTGTCCTCCATAAACATGAGGAAGAAGCACAGTGCTCTAGATTTTAGCGCACCAAAAAATACAAACACTGGCGTGATATATCACTCTAACATGCACTAATCACTATGGCTAAGCATTTCATTATTTCATAATGCCTGACAGAGTTAGCTAGCCAGTGAAATTAAAAGGTGCTTCTCAAAGTTTCCCCCCCGGCCGTGAGTTAATTAGTGTGAACGGTAACAGAGCAGTGAGTTAATTAGTGTGAACGGTAACAGATCCGTGAGGTAATCAGTGTGAACGGTAACAGAGCTGCAAGGTAATGGAAGTGGACTGGGAAAGGGAAGTGATAGCTACTGTAGCTGTTTCTTCTGACCAGACCATTCCGTGACTTACTGTACAGTAGCGCGGCAGCAAAAAGTGCAGGCCCATATGTTAGAGCATGAACAGTAATTCACTTATATTATGTAAAATACACACAGTTCAAGTGCATAAATACCGAACCTTCATCAAGATCAGAGAGAGAGAGAGAGAGAGAGAGAGAGAGAGAGAGAGAGAGAGGAGAGAGAGAGAAGAGAGAGAGAGGAGAGAGAGAGAGAGAGATCGGGAGAGCGAGAGAGAGAGACAGAGAGAGACAGAGAGAGAGAGAGAGAGAGAGAGAGAGAGAGAGAGAGAGAGAGAGAGAGAGAGAGAGTTTCACATATGTCACAGGACCTGTTATTTCTGTGTACTTTACGCGGAGTCAGATTGATAATAGTTTTATACTGACGCTACGATTCATCCACAGTGGTTAAAGAAGACGTCTCAACTGAGCAATCATTAATAAATCAATCTCACATTCGCTATTGCCATTCAACAAAGAAGACCTCTTCAATATTCTACCTTCTTTTTCAAATGGTAGGTATGCCCACTTTTGCTTAATGAAATTGCTTTTGGCTCATTTCAGAAAGACTAGCCTAATTATTCCTCTGTCAGTTGATATCTCAGTGTGATTTTGATATCCATCCAATCGCATTATCCAGTCATGATAGCCATAGGTAGGGTAATGTCTCTAGCCATGACAACAGCATCTGCTCTCTGTGGTTGCCAAATGGCACCCTATTTCCTATATAGTGCACTTCTTTTGACCAGGACCAAGAGGCCGCCATTAAAACGAGTCAAAAGTAGTGCACTAAGTAGGGAATAGGGTTCCATTTGGGACACGGACTGGGGCTTTGCAATCTAGTCCCAAGCACCGGCTAATACATTGTACATCATGGCCAAGTCTAAAGACGAAGGCTATACAAGATCCAAAGTAGTTATACCCCACATCAATACCAAGCCTCCCCGCTTGGGTCATGCCATGCAATACAAATTGACATACACATGTAGTTTTATTTAAGACTACAAGCTGCATTTATCTAGGAAATGACTGCGCCAATCGGTCTAATAACATTTCCTTGCTTGTGACATTTCATTTATGTCGAAAACTAATGGGGCTGATCCAATTAATAAACACTTTACCTTTGAAACCACATCAAAATAGGTTAAGGGGAGAACAAGGACACAGAAGTGGTGACATTTCAGAGAGGGGAATAACAGAGAGGAAAGACGGGCATACCATGTCATGGTCCGAGACGGGCCCAATACTCGTCACGAAAATGTCAGTCTTGACTTCAGTTACACGCTCTGTTGAACCAAGAAATTAGGAGAGTGAGTGGCGATCAGGGCTCCTCATTAGCTCTAACTAGCTCGTAATCCTGGGGAGCATTTCTAGCCCTTTGATCGTTTCATTCCCCAATTCTCACAGAGCCCCCTTCCAAAATGACACCTTACAATCCAGATTTTCACGTCAATAACCATTTCTGCAGTTCTCCGTTTCAGTGTCAGGACCTTTACCTGGGGACTGACTCAATCTCTTCATGAATTTTCAAATCTCTTGGCTGAGATCAAATTCCACCTGGTCTTTATGTGGCTGATGTATTTACAGTAACTTTGTCTGCTGTATAGAGTTATGTTTTGAAGTGAATAATGGAAACATGATTTACATCCGGAATGGTGTCAATCATAATGTTTAATTTGTCTCCATTTGCCACTGAAAATGTAATATTCCCTTGCCTGTTTGACCTTCCACACAGTCAATTCCATAAAAATCCCTTTCACGTTCCAGTAGGCCTACATATCTCTCCAATACTCTGTCAAGCTGAGTCGGATATAGAGCAGTAGACACAACAACTGTCTAGCACACAGTGCACTTCCATGAAAAATGACAAAACTACCCAAGGTCTCAATGAGAATGTCTACACCATACACTATTCCTCAAAAGAACAAGGGGAGTTATTTACCGGGGAGCTTTATTTTCAGTTTGCTTTAGTTTTCAAAAGATACTCGTTCTTGATATCATGCTTCTAAGGAAACGAGCTAACAGTGAATTGCCCTCCTGTAGATTCCTCTGATAGAGTGCAAAGGCAGAGAAATGACGATAAGCAAATACAATGCAGATTTATTTTTCATCGAGCAGGACAAAGGACTCCAGTCCTCCTTCTGTCTGTAGCCCATATGTAAAAATGGATGCACGCATGACTGTAAGTCACTTTGGATAAAACCGTCTGCTAAATGGCATATATATTATTTTATATAATATTGTAGTATATTATATTGTATTACTGTAAATCCTGTTTTGATGTGCTCTGGACTGCTATTGATGGTTTGCTATTGACAAACCATCAACAGTAAACCAACAGAGTACTGCAATCTGGTGCCAACAATTCCAAATAACATAACAAATGATTCAGGAAATTAGCAGCTGGAATATACTTGAAAGCATCATGCAATAAACATGTTATTGACTAAATCCAAGACACTCATCACAACCCATCTATCTCCCATCAGCTCTATTTCCCTAAACTTGAGAATGATATGAGTTGGTGAGAAACCATTGTACAGTACTGTACCTCCCAACCCTGGTCTGAGACGGTTGTCGTAGCCATCCAGGAGGCTGTCTAGGATCCGGGTGAACACTGTGGTGTTGTCTTTCTGCTCAGCCGTCTGGCCATTCTGTCCAGAGCTGACGAAAAGGAAGAGTAATTTTGGAGAGTGAATTCGGTGAATCGATGCAGGAGTGTTGGAGCAAAATCCCAGCTGAGCAACTTCTCTTGATCCTTTCAAATATACTTCCTTTGATGATACAGAATAGTAATAAAGCCATATGAATGTGAGAAATGGGTTTATTTTATCCACAGGGCATGAAATTGTACACACGCAGGACTCATAATGCAATATTTATACCTTAATGTGGTCTTTTAACAGCAAAGGATTCGTTGAGTGTGCTCTTTGAGCAACATGAAACAAAATGCTTAACACAAAGCCAGAACACTCACAATCAGTTATTGTGTGAGTGGAGTTAACATCGCCACTCATTAATATTTCAACACAATGATCAGCAGCAATACAGATTTAATTATGTTGCAAAATGTGTATTTTAACAACCGGAAGTATAGATGGAGAGAGAAATGGTCAGCTTGGAAAGGAGGGGGGTCTTTCTTCTCTCTCTTTCAAAAAGAATCACAGGAAAGCCTTTCTCATAAATAATCATCTTCCTTTTTCACGCCTAATCGCGGACCACACTGGTTTGATTGCATGCTAAATAAACAGTCCCCAGTGTTTGGAAACAAACTCTGCTCAGAACGCAGCTTCAAGGAGAAGGGGAGGTCATCAAGGTTAGTTAGCATGGACTTGCAAAGGGAAGGGAAGGGGGGTGAAATCTGAAATCTCGAGTAGCAGGAGGAGAGAACAGAACAGCCGAGAGGACATGAATGCAGGCGGCCGCAAATGAGGGAGAGAGATAGAGAGTGAGAGAGAAGGCAGAGGGAGGCAGATCACACAGCTTTAAATGTGAGCTGCTAAACGATTCTTCTAAATAAGGACATGCTACTCACATCACTGTAGGAATGATATAGTTCATATGGCGTCAACACAACAGCTATTTGTTAAAAATACAGCTTCCTGACAAAAATACTTATAGGAAATATAAATAAGATAAATAATGAGACAAGCAATTGGAACAAGCGTCTGATATCAAACTATTCTACAGTTTGTAAATCTCCATTTTGTGTGAAACTTTAAGAAATGGCAAAACCTTCCATGCCATAGCTCAAGAGCCAGGCCACCAAAACAAAGGCGTGAGAAATGAGAAACTGCCTGCAGGGTCATGTGAGGCTGAATAGCTGAATAACACACACATACACACACATGTATTTTCTGCTTGCTTGGCTTGCCGATACACTGAGTGAACACATGCTGAAGGTTCGGATTCTCCCCTGATACAGTTCATTATATCCTCCTCACAAAAAACACAACAGGAAACGTGCAAGGATGCCTCTTTTTATTTAATTTCACCTTTATTTCTCAATTAAAAACAAATTCTTATTTACAATGACGGCTTGGCCAGTGACGACTGGGAAGTGTGGTGCAATAAATAAAATAAAACCATTGAAATCACAGGACAATATGACACACACAAACGTCAATACAGAACAGTTACAGCACCAGGAGAGCTGATATCACAACACAGCAGAACAGAAACAAATGGCAACAACATAACATTTAGTAAAAACAGGAAGCAAAGCCGACAGGTAAATGAACAAACAGAGCACACGCAGCACATCATGCTACACTCTCTCTGTCACACTAACACCTACAAACTTACACTTACATACACGCCTCGGAGTGCTTTCAAGTGAGGAATAATTCAAATGCACTTGACATAGGATATATTTGGGAATGGGAGGTGGGGATAGAGTATGGGAGAGGCAGAAGGAGAGAGAGAAGCGGGGTGCAGATAAGCAGAGAGCAATGGACTGGACGTTTATGAGCTACTGGGACCACTTCCTCATAAAACATTATACACCATCCCCATCTACAGGTCATCTGAACAGCAACAGTACTGCTCACTGCTGCATGCTGCTGCCTCCAGCCTCCCCTCCCATCCCTCCCTCCCTCCCTCCCTCCTCCTCCCTCCCTCCCTCCCCCTCCCTCCCTCCCTCGCCTCCCCTGCCTCCCTGCCTCAGCCTGCCTCCCTCCCTCCCTCCCTGCCTGCCTTCCTGCCTGCCTGCCTGCCTGCCTGCCTCCCCTCCTCCCTGCCTCCCTCCCTGCCTGCCTCCCTCCCTCCCTCGCTGTTCAAAAACCCTCCAAGGTTTGTGTTTGAATTCTAGAGGTCAATACAGTCAATCACAAGGTAGTAATTACACTGCAGTTTACGGTGACAATTGTAAGGTGGAGTAATCAGGGAAGGTGTTTATTGGTTAAATGGGCCATCCTTGAAGTAGTGCAGTTAAGATACATTAAACACTCTGTTGATTAATGGGGAAAATGACACAGCTCACGGAAAATTAATCCTTAAATGGCCATTTCATTAGACTGATTAGATGTCTATGCATTTTCCAGTACTGCACAGATCTGCACGCATGTTCTTCAGCACATAACCTCTGACCTGTTTACTCTAACTGTACATAGGACAGTGACCGAGAGGCAAAAAGCAAACATATCTCAATAAATAACTATTTAAGTCAACTTCAGTGAACAGCTCTGAAAGTTATACTGAATTATTTAGGCTAGCAGAATAGCAAAACCAAACTTAATTCATTGAATAGTCAAGCATCTTCATGCTATGTGATTCCACATGATCATATGCACACAAAGTTATCTAGGTATATGCGGCTTCATTTGCAAATAGTGAAACCTTGATATTTGCATATTTTTGGTTCAATGTCAAACTTCTCAACGTTAATCCTAGGACTGGATTAGCATTGAGGTGTAAACGCAAATGTCTGTCATTTCAATGGTGGGATTAATAGTGTGGTAATCACATGTCAAAACCTATCATCTCTCATCCCATCTCACTGTGGTACTGAGTGGGTGGTCCGGGCACAGACGCCATCTGTATTCCCAAGAATGACTTTCTATATTGGACTACCCTCTAGTTAAGTATGTCACTTGAAACACATACATAATTTGAATAAATGACAGAATGTCTGAGACATGCACTTCTCTACTTTGTTTGAACATTCAGTGTTGTCCTATGTGGTTGCTGAGCATATGGAAACTGTAACACAGTAATTGCTATTTTGGGCAAATCCACCACAGCTCCTCATATTATCGCAATTACAGTGTGGATTCCTGAAGTAATGCCCTAATTACTGCCATCACAGAGTCATGCACAACATAAAAACATGATCAGTTGTCGAAACATGATCATTACAATCATACCTTCTTCTCCAGGATAATCAGCTGTTTGCTCTCAGACTGCCAGTGAGGGATGGATTCCAACATGACATGATTGCAGATCACAAAATATATTCTAATTCCACACTGTCGGGGACTTGAGAGACTAGTATATTGTCTCTGTAACTAGACCCTAGAACAGAACACAGTGATTCTCTTTTCTGGGCCAAATCTAGCTGAAGGCCCGTAGATACTTGACAGTGAATATTTTGTCTGTGTGGTCGAAGCCCACCTTACCTTTTCCCACAAAGCACGTTGGCCACCAGCAAACAGGCCCAAACACATAGTAGTATGGCCGTTCCTGTCCGTCCACCCATGGTTGGAGAGTGGTTTGTCACTGAAGGAGGAAGACAACAACTACACATCAGAAAATAAAACAAAAATGTAAATACCACACCAGAAAATAAAACAGTACCATTGACAAGACTGGCTCAAAAGATAATCAAACAAGACACAATTGAGGAGGTAAGTGATTCTGAAACCAAGAGCATCAAGAAACATAAGAGGCAGGCAACTTTCTACTAAGACCAGCCTTTCCCAAGAACTATGTTGTATCTTTCGGTTCATATTAGTATCCAGCTTTTGCACACACAAAAAACTACTTACATTAAGATTTGGTGATGGGTCGAACCTCAAAAGTCTATATATTTCACAAAATAGCCTATATAGGCTATCTTGAACTGAACTTAAACGGAACTGCATCCGTAAGCTCATATGTCATAAATCAAACCAAGTGTTCTCGTCACACGTCAGATGTCAGTTGACAGATAAACACACAGTCCTTAAAGCCATCAGATATTATTTCGTGTTTTCAGTCCACTATCTATTATACTTAATATAATTACCTGAAAAGAAAGATAGCGAGAGCGCGTCTGAATGAATTTGATACACTGGCGGCGATGTATTTGTTTCTTTAAAAAAAGGGCTACATTCCATGAAGAATCGATTTCGGATGATCGGTCGACATACATTACGCATGCATATTGCATAAATAATTGTGGAGAAGACTCAAACACGTTACCGGTTACATTGTCTTGTATGTCGTTTGTTTTCATAGCACTTGTATAGCCTACTTAGTTTACTCATAGCCTGCAATTAAAAGGCGGCTGGAACCGCATATTAAACCAATCTCTTAGATTCACGCATTTTCACCTTCTTCCAACATCATCATGTCAACCCAGTTTCAGTGGATGTAAGTGGTAGGATATGTTATTGCGTTACGCAAATACAATTGTTGGCCAGATGCCCGTTTAACTGAACCATATATATATATATATATATATATATATATATATATATATATATATATATATATATAACGATGTTTCCCACGGCAGCAGCAATGAATTACCCACGCAAAAGGTACTGTAATCAATAGCTACACCATTATCAAACAAACGACTACAATAACCTGACAATAAAACATACATAGAAGAAACGGCGACTATTTTGTCCAAGGTGCACTGAAATATGCTGCAAACGAAGCGTATTAAACGACGTGCAATGTTCTGTTAAAATGTCGTTAGTTGACAAGGATTTGATAAACCAGGGATAATGCAGTTTAATGGGAAAACATCCGATACACCACACTTTCTAGATTATTCCTTGGAAATGTATCAGCAGTATAAACATATTGAGTTCAGGGAGATATTGGCATTTCTCAAGGCTCATCTTAAACATTCGTGTGTGGCGAGTAATTAAGCAACTGTATAATGCTAGATTCGGAGCGCTGTCCAGGGCTGAAACAACTTGGACAAAACCATGTCATACCACAGCAGATGCCAGTAAATCGTCTACATTTTCAATAGCAAACTCCGCATCCTCCACTCCCCGACCGTTGCAACTCATTTACCATCTATTTGGACTGGATTCTGCCTCTGTTAGGCTTAACACAACTCACTGCAGTTCTAACTGCAAGTCAAATTCCCCGACCCCCTTCTGCACTGAAAAAGACAAGCAAAATGAAAAACGATTAATTCACTTACAGCGATATGGCAGAGATGTTCGAGGCTGTCGTATTCTCAAACTTGTATGGAGATCTTTTCTACACGGATTCGATGAGAACAATCCTCCAAGATCTCAGATCTGACGAAATTTAGCTTGAGTCTCGAGAAGCGGCAGCTGACGATGCTGAGTATGCGCAGGTCTCGCGCACTGTTCATTGGTGTGGGGAGTTAAACTCTTCTCAGTCCCCAACAAATTAGTAATCTAACTACAAAATCTACTCTAAATACGGAAACTGCAGCCAAATACAGCTTTACTTTACCAGGACAATAGTAACATGTCCCTGGGTAAACCGGATGTGAAATACGCTGTGACTTAGAATGGAAGGTGGTACCAATGTCTCATCTGAAGACCAATCCGCCCATTGTTTATATGCAGCACAATTTAACTTCCTCTGCTGTCGACTTAATCTCTTTTCAGTGGCTGCAAAATCTAATTCTCTTACATTTTCACTTGCCCCCCCCCCCCCCCCCCCCCCCTCCTGCCTGATGTTTGATGTTTTCCGATCAAAACGGCGTTTTACATTTATTGAATGGGTTATATCAACTAAACGAAGACCCCCAAACGATTATTCAATACTTATCTCATATCAATGAAGACACTCGATGCAAATTAAAAACAACATATTCATACACACCAAGACATTTCTCCCAATGTTAAGAAATGCATATTCCCTCACCCGATAGATTTGATGAGACGAGCCTCACTGAAAATCAACTTTAGTCACTCACTGTACCCCAAAAGCCCAGGATTCGCATCGAGACAACAGGACCGCCTGTTTACTGTCAACTATTATGCCGCTAGTGCCTGCACTCCACGACTGAACACAGACAGAGCCGTGCCGTACTTCTACAAAAACCGCCTGATGATACCGAGCGTATATTCTTGTAGTCATCTGCGTATTTCAAGTTAAACTACAAACCAGAAGACATTTTAATCATGATGAGATATGTAATAACGGACAATTTATGTAGCTGGTTTATTGCCCTCAGAGATACGTTTACAAAAGGCTATGATGACATCTAGACTACTCGTCCTTCATGTATAAATCATCATTCGTCAATGCGATATTGGCATTGGGTTCTATTTACCAGACTGCGGAGACTGTGATTCGTCTCGTCTGAAATGGAGCCGGACTTATGTGTTGCGTTATATGTGGTTCATAAAGTGCATGTATGAGTTATGGGAGATAGAGTATATGCATCGGTATTCAGTAAGGTTTCTGTCGCCCCCTCTCGCTCTCTCTCTTTCTGTCTCTCCATCTCTCTTGTGCTCTATACAGATAGTGCGGTTGCCTAGCCTATATGCATCGACCTTAGCCTGATGCTGCAAGTGCCTAACTCGTTATTCAAAACTAAACACCGAATTCTGACCAGACTTTTTTATTGTAATACAATGTCTTCGCAGACATGCTTCTTCACTGTCCAATGACATGGACGGGGGCACTTTGAGTTCATTTGTTTGTGTGTGCGTGTGGACACGCGCGTGCGCGTTCGTGCATGTGAGTCCGCACGTGTGTGCATATTTGTATAACAGAGAGAGGGAGGGAGTGAGAGAAAGAGAGTAACACAGACAGAGAGAGAGAGAGAGAGAGAGAGAGAGAGAGAGAGAGTAACACAGACATACAGAGAGAGAGAGAGAGAGAGAGAGAGAGAGAGAGAGAGAGAGAGAGAGAGAGAGAGAGAGAGAGAGAGAGAGCCTACAGTACAGTGTATGGCGAACTGTCATTTCAGCACCATGGACAGTTCAAAACGGGACCGCTTGTGGCCAATCAAGTCTATTTCCAATGAAAATCACACCCGCGGCATTACAGAGTTCGAACAAAAAGACAATGGCCTTTTCTCAATTAGATTTGCTCAACTCCTGCATCCTCTCTTCTTCGTCTTCTCTCGCATCCTCTCTCCTCCGTCTTCTCTGCCCTGCTTTTGAAAAAGGTCAAAGGTAATCGAGGAGAGGGAAAGTGGACGAAAATGCGCTTGGATGAAATGACACTTCTCCAATCGCGCGTCATCAGGCAAATTACGTTTACAGGGTGGAATGCCAAAATAAATGTATAAAGTGATCAAAACAAATGTATCTAGTTGTGCAAGACATTTTATAGATAAAAGCATATAGTTTTTAAGTGTTTGCATGCTTTTCTCCTTCGAGAAAACAATAGCTGATTCAAAGAGGGTGTGGCAGATTTCAAAACTCTTCAGTGAAGGACTCAGGTAGGATCATAGAGATAGATAGATAACTCATATTTTTATCTGTGCCATTATAGTGTCTGTGATGGCATGGGCAGTGCCACTGAGACAATCTCCATTTTGAAGTAGTACATTTTCTTCTTCAGGATTGGCTGATCCCTCCTGATAACGTGGTTGGACATGACTCCAGCAGGGTCACAAGGAGGGATCAGCCAATGAAGTTGGAAGGTCCACCCAGTTGACTACATTAAAATGGTGGAAGCCCTCAATGGCACTGCCCATGTTAATACAGCCTTTTGGCCACTAGAGGCCTCTATCCTTCTCTATGGGTATAATACGTTTGGCTTCTTCGCCAAAAGGAGGCTATTGGGGAAGAGAGAACCGTCTTGCGTTTGCATTCTAAGGAATTGACACACTCCTCCACCACTCGACCACTTATCGGTTTCCGGGGTCATGGAGGAGAGGACGGAGGACGGACTTTTGCCCAAACGAGGAAACCCCAATCTCTGAGAGTTGCATGTTGTTTCCTTCAGTGCAAGTGAAGGAGGAGCGGTGGTGTAG